TTTATGTTATTGCTAATTTCGAAGGTTTGATACCCAACAAAAATGTCACCGTAGCTGTTGGAAAGAATTACAAGAAATTTGACGATGTCAGAGACACCGAGGCACAATTTTCTCAAGTAAAAATCATTTACCAACATCAATATACAGGGTGCTTTCCAAATTGGGGTATTAAGAAATAAAGTGTAAAAACCAAAAAAAGAACAATGTTTTCCAAAATGCGGAACTTAAGAATGTTACATTTGATGAATTTCTTCAATTAATTTCACTGTAACTGAGCACTTTGGAGTAAACTAGCTTTTCGCTCACGCAGACGATTCGTTGTATTGAAGAGCGTTATTACCAAGTCTCAGGTTAAAAATATGTTGAAGAGCATTAAAACGAAATTTCAAGAAAAAGTCACCATAAAAATATTTTTCCTTATACAAACGTTGTCACCTCCTTTGATCTTCTTAGGGGTGGAATCTCGAAAAAATCTGAAATACGTCTTTCACTATTTGTGTTGAAGAGCATTATTTTCCCAGACAAAGATAGCCACCATTGTTCACCCCCTTAAATATGTGATGTGGTTGGTGTTACGCTCTTCTCTATACACTGAGAAAGTTATAATAGTAAATACCAGTGACAATTTTTGTTCTGTTGGTTCAACAATGCCACGACAACATGCTCTTTGTGAAAATAATCTTACCAAAACGGAGGAACGTGTTATGTGCGGTATATGTAAAACTGCTTATCATGGAGATTTAACCAAACAAGAAATTATTTGCTTAAAGAATCCTAAATGTAAACTAAACTTTTTCTGTAATAAATGTAACATTATGAAGTTAATTGGTAATTTGAATAATGAAATAACATTGTTGAAAAAAGGATTGAAGGAACTGAAAACATGGAAAAAAAACGGAGAATGTTCAATCAGACAGGTTTAACGGACGAACAATTAGATGAAATTGATGAAAGGGAAAGGCGGGTTACTAATATTGTTATTAGCGACATATCTGTGTCTCAATCCATAAATGTTGTAGCAAAAATTGTCGATGATCTTAACACAGTAAAAGAAATCATTACAATTACTAGAGTTTCTACTGGAATAGTAAGCGTTTCGTATCGGGAAGCAATTGCCTTAAAAAAATCGTTGTATCAAAGTCATTTTACCAACCCCTGCGAAATTATCAGTTCACTAGTAGTATATACCTGAATGGAGATTTGAAAAATCTCAAACCAAAATACTGCAATGAAATGCCCAAAATTATCGCAGTAAAAAACAATTAGTTTCCCAACAGACAATAATTTTTATCACTTTAATATAGTTAGTATATCAGAACACCGGGGGATTAAATACAAAAATTTTTGATTTTTATTTAAATATTATTTTACTAACAGAAACTTGGATGCATATAGATGTGTTTTGTAATGAAATTTTTCCAAGTCATTTCAATGTTCACAGATGCGATAGAAAAAACTAAAGAGAAGGAGGTGTCTTGATCGGAGTCAATAACAAAATTAAATAAAAAAATCTTAACTTACACAGCTCTGTGGATATACAGTTAATAGGAGTCAAATTATTTATATGTAGAAGACATACAATGGACTGTAGTAGTTGTGTATATCCTTCCAAGTTCTTCTTGTACAGTATACTTGCAACTTTTTGAGTATCTGGAAACCAATCTTGATCTTACCAACCTTGTGCTAGTGGCTGGTGATTTTAATATAACAGAACTTAGCAGCTTAATAGAAGCACGGTTTACGTACTTCTTTAACTTTTTTTTGACTCTTAATAATCTTAATCAGCATAACAATGTACTAAACAGAGAAGGCAGAATTGCAAGTAAAATAAAAAAAAAACATGAAGACCCCCTAATTTTGGACGATTATCACCATCCTTGCTTTGATATCAGTATTAACTTATTAACTTACGACGAATTTACTTAACCACTATAATAATGATAATGAATTATCGTCGATGGATTGATCATGTGTTCAAAATTGTGACGTGGTTATTGATGACGGGTGTAATAATTTCTACCAATGACAATTGATAACTTTCTAAACCATGTGCCATTGTATAGAACAGTATCAAGAGGTACCTATTCAAACTGGTTTACTAAAAACGTTATAGATCTTATAAAAATGAAAAGGAAACATTGGAATCATTACAAAAAATCAAAATTATTGTACCATTTAGACAAATATAAGGAGTTGAGAAGTAGAGTTAAGTATCAAATTCGCAAAAAATATGTAAACTTTATTAATGATTCGGAAAATTCAGTCAAACAGGATCCTAAAAAATTTTGGAATATGATCAACACAAAATACCGTGAGTGATCACTAGTCTTTGCTGCATTTGTCGTGGTCAAAACTTATTCGTGCCACAATAATCGCCCTAATATTTATAAAAATGTACTATTATAAAATTTATAAAATGACGGATTAAACGAATACCTCAACTTCGAGAGCGCCTGTATTGTCGTTTTTATTGGCACGTTAACAAAACAATTTTAGGTGTACAAAATATTTGGTCCCATTGAGGATAAAAGTGTAATGGCAACTGAAGGTATTGCTATTTTAATTACAGAAAAAACGTTTGTGTTATCACGGAATGTTCTGCCGGTATGTTTAGACGTTGCTCAAAATTACAAACTTTTAGATAATCAATTTGTGTACGTAAGTTCGGCCGCTTGTCCGTTGTAGACGAAATATAACCGCATCAAATCTGTTGCAGAGCAGCAAATGGGGTTCTGACGACGTTTTAAAAGAACGAAAAATTCGGGTTTCTCTTAAGAATGCATTTAATTCTCAAGGACGTTCAAGGGACACAATCTGGTTATTCGATGGTATGTTTAGATAAAATTTTTACGCAGTTAGGATTTTTTTTTTGTAGACATGATGTGGATAAACGACCTTGGTAGTGGTCTTGTGTACGAATACGACGACAAGTACTACTTGGCTGGGGTTATAGGATTTCCCATACACGGACATACTGGCTTGCTTCTCCAGTATACCAATATTTCGAAATATATGAATTCCCTTATTTTACCACAATTATCTACTTATAGCTGAAATGTAGTCTGTGTTTTTCAATAAGCTAGCAGTGAAATAAAGACATATTTCTGCTGGAAAGTTGGTTTTAATCTGATGTTTTCTTTCTTTAATTACGAAACGTCTTTGATGAAATATTTTCATGAAAAGTGACACGTTGAACATAATTCTCTCTTTCGACGTGTTTGCACATTGGCTTTTACGTCAGATGTCGTTTTAGTACGGGATTTTTTGATATACAGTTATATTTTCCAAATTTTAAACATACTTTTGTTTATCGGAAAGTTTTTCTATTGGAAAGGACGAGGCCCAATCCAGTGTATTGATGGGATTTGGGATAGGAGTCTTCCGAATGCATTCCAAGTAAATTATTGTTTAATGTACAAGTCGATTATGCACTGTGCGTCTTGATATGCCACATTTTAGTATGGGGCGAATCTTCACACGAAAATAACCCAACATTAATTGTGCGCGGAGCTAAAGGAGCGCAGGGACAGGATAAAAGTTTACTTTGTGGTGGAACTTTACTAAATCAAAGAGTCGTCGTCACAGGTTTGTTACCTACTAACAGAAAAAATTACACTAATTACACTGCAGCAGTACATTGCGTAACAAATTCCGAATGGGAAAGACATTTGAGGAGCACTTGGCCAACATTAAAGAAGCATTTAGCCGAATGAAGAAGGCAAATTTGAAGTTGAATCTGAAGAAGTGCCTCCTCTTCTAAAAAGGAGTCGAATTTCTGCGGCATACTGTTTCGGCAAATAAGATCAGGACTACCGGAATGAAAATTAGGGCAATTTGCGATTGGCCGAGACCAAGAGATAAGCACGCAATCTGGAGTTTCTTGGGATTGTGCACGTACTACAGAAGGATCTTTGAAATATGTTACTATCGAGATGCTTGAATAATCTTAATGTAAAAGTTAAATAAAATTGGTCAAATATGTCCGTGCTTGCCAAAAATTTTCTCCTACTTTTGCAAATCTTGGAGGGAAACTAGCTTATAGGAAGTTCTCTCGATAGTATGGCGTGTGGAAGCATTTATTGATTTTATGTAAAAGCACAAATATTATGTCATTATTATTAATATTATTATACCATTTTAAATCGCTAAAATTAATTGTCTGTATTTACTCGCAAAACTTTATCCACGAATTGTTAACATACCAGTTAGCTAAGTCAAGCGAAGCGAAGAAAGAGAAAATTGTACTGAAGCTGTGGATGGCACGAGAGCCAAGTTTCACTGTGCCGACTTTTACGAATAGTGGGTGTTCACACATAGATCCGATCATATCTGGGTTGATGGGATGTGGAATCAGCCTCATCCTCAGTGTGTACCAGGTTAGCATATATTGCCCAATACAAATACAAATTTCGTTGTTAAAGAGTCTTCCGATAGCAGTAAATATTACTCATTGCATTTATTTATATATGTCTATAATAAAGAAGAACGCAACAATCAAGTTATTTGTAGTGGATCTCTAATAAGTGAAACAATTATATGCATAAATACGTCCGTCCTGTCAGAGTGCGTAAAAGACTTTTATGTACCACATTTTGGACGTCCTGTACTTAGTAATAAGACTTGATTTTCCTACTTTATCCAAAAGTTCAACATGCACGTAATTCTTTAATGTATAGTTGATGATAAACAGAGCAAAGAGGTTCGATAACATTCATGTTTTTTAATTACATAAATATATTTACTTAATATTAACTACTTAATCAAAATCGGCAACAGTTTCGATGACGAAATCGTGATAGTTTTTAGAAGCTAATCTACATAAACTCTGTACCAGCACTGAAATTCCCACTTTATATATATTGTAGTAAATATAAATAAATAAATGATTGAATCCGACCTTATGTTTCCTTTATCAATTTATCTTGAAATGCGTTTTAATATTATTTTGATAGCGCGATTTTTTTCGTTTAATATAACACTATGCGCATTCAAACCTAATTTTTGTTTCAATTAACATTTCCCCTTCTAGTTTAGATTTTCATCCTACCGGAAGATGGTCAATTTATACAAATTTCCCTTCCTGTCGTAGGGTACTTAAGAGATATAAAAAATTTTAAGTGCCTGTGTTAATAGCAAAAATAATATTCATACTAATAGCGTGACCTCCTCTAGAAGTTATCAGTTCGATTTAAAGACTTTTTTGTCTTATATCAATATTTATTTTTCGTTATACGTTGAATATGCTTCATAATCGGTGGACGAAGTACCATACAAAATGACGACCTGCAGTGTTCTACAGTATGTAGCGAAAATTATAACAATACATACGAGTATTTTAAGTAAGTATGTGTATTTGTATAGAAATTTTATAATTTGTTTGTTCTCGCTTTTCTTCTTTTTTTTATGCTAAATTTAACCTTTTAGTAAGTAGTTCTACTTGTGGCGCGTATGATCATAGCAGCTACACTAGGCTACCACGCAGCATCAGGTAATAATAAAATTATCTTCATGAGGAATCCAACATTTTTTTGAGCAGCTGTTCTCTTCCACAACACCCACAATTCGGTAATTGGACCATCTACAACTCCCCTTCGCAGTTGTCTCCTGGTACGTCGGTACCAGAACAAACAGTCCTAGAAATAAGTTGTCAGGAGAGTTACAGAATAGACGGTGAAGACTTCACCACTTGTATCCGGGGGACATGGAAACCCAAAATTGGACAGTGCTTACGTAACAATTTCCTATATTTGAAAATTTTTGTTGGAAAAATTTTGCAGGGACCTGCCCCACGATAAATACCACCTTGGCAATGAGAGTGACTTGCAGACGTAACCACCAAACACTAGACTCTTGTGCTAACGTTTTTGATAGCACAGTTGCGTACTTTCAATGTGCTGACTATTTCGAGTTCCAGACTTCGGACGAAGAACAGACGCGATGGTGCTCGAACGGAAACTGGGTTGGGAGTTTACCCATGTGCGTACCTAGTAAGTTTTGAAATGTTATACCGTTGCTACAAAATTTGTTTTGGTTGAATTTACGTAGTTAGCAAGAAGATTACTTAAAACTTTGATTCTGTTTTTTAGTTATTTAACTTTTGATCATCACACTTCCTACATTTGCTCTTCGATCTTCCACTAGTTGTCTGTAACCTGGTACTCTTCATGTGTTAGTGTTATTTGTTCCAGCAGACTTTTCTCGACACAAAAGAATGGATTGATACGTCGTTTGCTTTATTTTTAGTTTGCGGCCAATCATCGCCTATAGCAGATCCTACATTAATTATTGGAGGAAAGAAAGCAGAAAGAGGTAAATACCCATGGCAGGTCGCTTTATATGACGCTCAGAGCAAAACTTTACTTTGTGGAGGAACTCTATTAAATCAAAGAGTCGTCTTAACAGGTAAATTGTACTAAAGAAGAAAATAGATTTAACTCTTCAATAAAATATTTGCAGCGGCACATTGCGTTACAAACGCTGAAGCTCATCTAGAATCAACAGAAAAATATATAGTGGCAGCTGGAAAATATTTTCTATCTTACAGTCATCCCGACGATGCCAACCACACACAGTTTTCTTCTGTAGGTTGTTATGTGTCCAAAACTGTCACTTCTGTTTATAATTTTTAGGTATTTGAAATGTTTATTCCGTATCAGTATAGAGGACCCGCTCGACATTATGCTGGAGACATTGCCCTTGTAGTTACGAGTAAAATCTTTAATCTTACTATCAACGTTAGACCCATATGTATTATATGGCAGACGACACGTTATAAAGAGCTATTAGATCCTACTAGAACGAAACGTGCTTATGTAAACGTGGTTTGTGTCAGAAGTCCGTTTTGAGCTTACAATTTCTTGTAGGTCAGCGGTTGGGGTTTCACTCGAGAGTTCACAGATCGTCCTGATGTTCTTAACGACTTGGAAGTTCCCCTGATTAGCGATCAAATGTGCATGGATGAACTACCCGATGAAGATACTGAATATGTGACTGACGATAAGTTCTGTGCTGGCTTTTTAAATTCTAGTAAATCTTTTTATCTTCTGGAATCGTCACAGACACGAAAATTTTAGGTACTTCCGTGTGTAAAGGCGACAGTGGTGGAGGCCTGGTAATAAAACGCGACAAACGTTACTACATCATTGGAATTGTGAGTATTTCACCTCGAGGAGCCACACAACATGGTGGCTGCAACAGCCAACTGTACACTCTTTACACTAAATTTTCCTCCTACATTGAAGACTTCGTAATGGAGAATGAAGCCAAATTTAGGCCGTGAGTTCTAAAATTTAATTTAATGTCAAGCTTTTAATTCGTTTTTCCAAATACAAACGCAGTCGTTTTGATTGTCGAGTTATTTCTGACTGTAACAACATTGTACTGAGTACAGAGTCGCCATCAACAAGAGTGATCGTTACAAATTCGTCTAACGGGTAAAATATACTTCCTGTTCAATTTTACAGTTCTGGGAATTTTGTTTAAGTAATGGCTGCATTTTACCGAATCATCCAGAATTTGGCAAATGGCTCGTTAATGGATCAGAAAGACTTCAACCTGGAATGTCAGTAGCAACAGAAACCCGACTAAACGTACAATGCGACGAGCATTTTAAATTAGATGGTGGACGGGTAGTAATTTGTAAGGACGGAAAGTGGTCGAGGGATGTTGGACGATGTCTGGGTATGTACTTTTCCTATGGTGTTATTATAGTGTAGTTAAAATTAATTGTCTACAATACGTTAAGAACAACAAAATAATTGTCATCTTGTCGATTATGGAACCAGACTAAAAAATTTTGGCCGTATCTTTGGTGAAGACATGATGAAATGATGTCTTTGTTCAAATTTGAGTTTGTTTTGTTATTTTATTTCAATGTTAATATTTTTAAAAAGTTGAATAATTCATTCCAATATGTTACATTATACAGGGTCCTCTGATAATGAAAGGAAAATTGTTTTCAAATTTTCGTATTTAGTGATAATAATTTTCTCTGCAGTTACGCGACCTTAATTAACGAATATTTAAAAACTTTAAAAGCCACAGAAATTATATTCACCTCAATGAACGTCAGTCTCATGCACTGAGAGACAAACCGGTTTGGCAATGAATTAATTTCTCCAAAATCAAAAAAAAAAGTTGTCGAAACCGTGTTCAGGATCATTGTACATTTTCGGAGTATCGTTACAAAACTGTTGGAGGGAAAAGCGTTGATAAGAAATGCTCTCTAAATTGCTAAAATTAATTGTCCGTATTTAGTCGCAGAAGTCTGTCCAGCAATAGTTAGCACACCACGTATGCAAGTCACATGTACCTACAAAGGCAAAGAAAGGAAAAACTGTATTAGAGCCGTGGAAGGCACTCAAGCCAAGTTTCAGTGTGCCAACTTTTACGAAGACGTGCAGTTGAAAATTAGACCCCCTCAGTTCTGCATCAATGGGGAGTGGAATCAACCAAATCCTCAGTGTGAACCAGGTTAGCATACACTGTAGTGCAGTATAGTAAAGCGTAACAAAATTCATTACAGTATGTGGGAGAAGGCCAACCAGAAATTCAACTATTGGTGTGTCTAACGTTACCTCTGAAGATTATCCATGGCATGTATCTATATCTTTGTACAATCAGCAATATTCTGTATGCAATGGAATTCTTTTAAGTCAAAGAGTGATACTCACAGGCAAGACTCGAAATCTTTGTCGAAAATTTATACGACTTCAAAAATTTTAGCTGTGGATTGTCTGAGGTATCCAGACGATTTGATACCCAAAGAAAATGTCAGCGTAGCTGTAGGAAAGAATTATGGTGAATTTGACGACGCCAGGGACACGGAGGCACAATTTTCTCAAGTAAGAATCAAATACCAAAATCAATATTCACGGTGTTTTCCAAATTGGAGCATTAAAAAAATGAAGTCTAAAACAGAAAAAAGAGAGAGAGAGCACCTGTATTGTCGTTTTTGTTGGCACGTTGACAAAACAATTTTAGGTGAACGAAATCTTTATACCCTTTGACTATGAAGTCGGGACTGCAAATATTGCTGTTTTAATTACAAAAAAAACGTTTGTGTTGTCTCGGAATGTCGTGCCGGTATGTTTAGACGTCGGCCAAAATTACAAATTTTTAGAAAATCAATTTTTTTATGTAAGTTCGGCCGTTTGTCAGTTGTAGACGGAATATAACCACATCAAATCTGTTGCAGATCAGCAGTTGGGGTTATGACGATGTTTTAAAAGAACGAAAAATTCAGGTGTCTTTTAAAAATGCATTAAATTTTGAAGGACATTCAAGGGACACAATCTGCTTATTCGATGGTATATTTAGATGAAATTTTTAAAAAGTTGGTAATTATTATTTTTTTTGATAGACAAGATGGGGATAAACTACCTTGGTAGTGGTCTTGTGTACGAATTCAATGACAAGTACTACGTAGCTGGGATTATGGATATTCCCATAGTCGGGCATTTTGACACGTTTCCACAATATGCCAATATTTCGAAATATATGAGTTCCTTTATTTTACCAAAATTATCTACAACTGAAACGTAGTCTGTATGTTTCAATAAGCTAACAGTGAAATAAACGCACGTTTCTGCTGAAAGTTGGTTTTAGTCTGATGTTTTCTTTCTTTAATTACGAAACGTCTTTGATGAAATATTTTCATGAAAAGTGACACGTTGAACATAATTCTCTTGCTTTTATGACAGATGTCGTTTTAGTACGGGATTTTTTGATACGCAGTTATTTTTTTCAAATTTTAAACATACTTTTGTTTATCGGAAAGTTTTTCTATTGGAAAGTAGCCACTGCTGTGCAGACAGAAACCAATTAAGACTTTGGTGGGGACGATATGCAAAATTTTGGTTAGGGTTTTACCACCTAGACGACAATCCTAATATACATTTAAAATCTGACAACGATTGACCTAGTTTTGTAGATTATCCGTCTAATAAAAATCCGGACACAATTTTCATAATTTAAAAATGTTTAGCAACAAGTTACGTCACTGATCCAGAAGGAAATTTGAACTCTTAAGTGACAGTTTTGACCACGAAATCGTGATAAATTTGACTCGCTAATCTCGTCATTTATAACCACCGGAATTCCCGTTTTAGATATCTGGTAATAAGTATAAACAGACAACCGAGCTCGACCTTTTTTGCTTCAGTTATCAATTTAGTGCGAATTTTGTCGTATATCATTATGCGTATCCAAATCGATAACGGTGTGATGGTTGCCATAATTGGTTTATGCATTTTGGGTAATTCATGGTTTTCCGTTGACAAAATTAACTACATTTTTCTTCCTACTAGTTCATTGCACCGACAGCAAAACCAGAACACCACGACTCTCCCCTAACAATAGGTAACGTTTTTAAAAGTGGGTTAATCTACACAGATTTAGCATAACTAAATAATATTTAAAAAAATAATTAGCTGTGTTCTGCCACCACATCCACAATTTGGCCGATGGACCATTTACGAAGCCACCGCTCAGCTATCCCCTGGAAGCCACGTACCGCCCCGTACTACTTTAGAACTAAGCTGCCAAAAAAACTACAAAATAGTGGGCGACGATACCGTTACCTGCATTCGTGGAAAGTGGAAATCCGAAATTGGAGAATGTTTACGTAAGATTTCATTCCACCAGTGACTATTTTCTCCAAAAGGGTTCACAGGGACGTGTCCTAAAATCAGCAGCACTTCAGTGATGAATGTAAATTGCAGCCGCAACGGAAAACAGTTGGACTCTTGTGAAAATCCTTTCGTCGGAACCGTAGCTCGAGTTAGCTGTGCTAGTTATTACGAAGAGCAGCCTGCGGGACGAGGACCAATCCAGTGTATTGACGGGATTTGGAATCGGAGTATTCCGAAGTGCATTCCAAGTAAATTATTGTACAATTCGATTATGCACTGTGTTTATTGACATGCCACATTTTAGTATGCGGCGAATCTTCACACGAAAATAACCCTACATTAATTGTGGGCGGAGCTAAAGCAGAGCGGGGACAGTACCCTTGGCAAGCCGCTTTGTACAAAGCACAGGATAAAAGTCTACTTTGTGGTGGAACTCTACTAAATCAAAGAGTCGTGGTCACAGGTTTGTTACCCACTAACTGAAAAAATTACACTAATTGTATTGTAGCAGCACATTGCGTAACAAATTCCGAAGCTCAAGTACAACCAAAAGACAACTATGTCGTTGCAGTTGGAAAATATTTTCGACAGTACGACCATTCTGGCGATGCAAAAACGGCACAGTTTTCTTCTGTATGTCCCCACATAAGAAAACAGTCACTTTTATTTAGGTTTTAGATACTTGAAATCTTCGTTCCGTATCAGTACAAAGCACAAGCGCGCCATTATTCCGCAGACATCGCTGTCATAATAACAGAGAAAAAGTTCGATCTGTCTGATAGCGTGGGACCTGTGTGTGTCATGTGGAACCCAAGACGCCACCAAATGTTGGTAGATCCTACCATAGCAAAGCGTGCCTATGTAATAATCCATTTTGATTCAGAAATGAACTCTAGTAGAGTGATTGCTTCTAGGTTAGTGGTTGGGGCTACACCTCCGAGCAAAAAAATCCTTCTGATGTTCTCAAACATTTAAAAGTGCCCATTATCACTAACGAAAGGTGCTTAGGAAGCTTGGACCCCGACGACGTGAAATACATGACCGACGATAAATTGTGTGCTGGTTTTTTAAATTCTAGTAAAATTTGCAACTTTTTGGGGTCAGACTTACCATAAAGTCAATTTTAGGTGCTTCTGCTTGCAGTGGAGACAGTGGCGGAGGTCTCGTGTCTAAATACAAAGGGCGTTTTTATATCGTTGGAATTGTAAGTATTTCGCCGAAGGCCCACCATGCTGTAGGTGGATGTGACAGTCAGCAATATACCCTGTATACGAGATTTTCCGCCTATATGGAGAACTTCGTACTGGACAAAGAGGCACGATTTAGACCGTGAGTTATAAAACTGGCTTGTTTTTAATTTTCAAATTTAGTCGTTTTGGGTGTACAAACGAGTCCGACTGTGACAGTAACGATTTACTAACTAGTAGGTAAAAACTTTAAACTTTATTTATTTATGAATTTTATACTTTAATGATCGCAATTTAATTTAAGCAAGCGTTGTACCCTACCGAACCACCCCGAATTTGGTAAATGGAGTGTTTCTGGGCCAGGAAAGGCCTTTCAGCCTGGAATGTCAGTAGCAGCAGGAACCGTTTTGACAATACAGTGTAACGAGAATTTTGCACTGGATACTCCAAACACAATATTTTGCTGCAATAAGAACGGGTCATACCATTTAGGGAACTGTTTGAGTATGTATCATGACTGTGGTGGCAAACTTCTTGACATTTTAAGTAAACAAACTATCTTTTTTTTTTCATTTTGCAGAAATGTGTCCAGTGATAGTGGGTACAGAAAGCATGCAAGTCACATGTAGCTATAAAGGCGAAGAAAGAAAAAATTGTACTGGAGCTGTGGAAGGTACTGTCGCCAGGTTTCGGTGTGTTAACTTTTACGAAAATGTGGGTTCGGATAGGGAATTGGTTCACGTATGTGTCAATGGGTCCTGGGACCAGTCACCTCCTGTGTGCGTACCATCAGGTCAGTATTATCCGTTCACAATCTTTATATAGTACGGTTGGCCATGAAAATCTAGCGAGTTTGTTGGTATTCGATCCAGATGAATAAAAATTCCCTGAACTTTTTTCGTTAGGTTATGTTTTATTAAATTAAAGGTTAAAAAATATGCCAGAAATATAAACATTGTTGCCGATACTGTCAGTTTTCAGTACCAATGACCAAGTTAACGGTATCCATTTCTTAGAAAGCATAAAACTTTACAATATTGAAAACAGTTATTCGGCTTTTTGTAGGTGTTTGTTTCATATGTAAGAAACAAACACTAAAATTTCACTTAAACATTGTTTTTATATGAATGGGGTTCTACATACGACTATTGTCGCATGCCACATTTAGCATCTCATCTTTAATTCTCAATCAACAGTTCGTTCTGCTCGCCCACTCTTCTTAGAAATGGAAATTTCGACCTTTGTAAACAGTTTATTTCCATATCTTCCAACTTCTTTTTTCACTTTTCTAAGATTACTAAAAGAGTTGGTAAAGGACAACAACCTTGCTCTAGTGCTTTGATGGGTTTAGCTCTTCTGAAACATTTTTCCGGCCTTAAATTGAATTATTTATCTATAGAGAGCGGATTTATAAGCACAAAAAAATTAAGAATAAGCGCTTAAATAAGCACAACATTTTCAATAAAAAAGTTTTATTTTAAGCAAAAAATCATTAAATAAGCATAACACTTTCATTAAAAAAGTTTTATTTTAAGCAAAAAGGCATTAAAAACATAATCATATTACAAATCAAAGAACACTTCTTAGAACTTTGGATAAAATATTATTACAATAATCCTAGACTTTATATTTTACACACGTATTTCAGTTTTCTTTAAAACAATTTATGATTGTAATATGTTCCAAGTTATCCACTGTAAAATTTTTTCGCCGATCATTTAAAATGTGTTTAAAATTGGAGAATGTGCGTTGAACATCCACACTCGTTGTTGGCGCAAATTTGAATTTTGCAACTAATGTTGAATCTAACTCCAAATTTTCCACCTTCTGGCCTTGCAAAACACGAGTAACGTCGGAAAGAACACCGAAACCTGCATTTTTATTTAACACTTCGTCAAGTTTTTGAGATACTCTAGTACCAATATCACCCCTTACTGCGTTTGCTTGTTGTTTAAATTCTTTCACTAAGTTTACGGCATCTACGAACAACATGTTGGGTTTTTCTAACTTTTCTATTACCTCGCATACGAATTGATAATTGCTTCTTAGAAAAGCTAGATCTTGTCGCAAATCTTTGTTTTCCAATATATTTATGCAATCTTTAATCGATTGAGAAGAATCTTCGCTAAACTCCGTAACTACTTCCTCAAATTCTTTGATATATGTGTCATAATAAAATGTGGCTTGTAACCATGTTCCCCACCTCGTTATAATCGGCTCTGGGGGCAATGGTATGTTTGGAAATTTTTCCTTAAAATGTTGCACTCTTAATGGGGCTTTAACAAAAATCTTTTTACCATTTGCCACTAATTTATTAACAGTAGGAAACTGCAAACGTATTCCTTCAGCCACTCTGTTTAAACCGTGAGCAATGCAAGTAGAGTGAATTAAATTGGGGTACAATATTTTTAGATTATTCCCTGCTTTCAACATATAACGAGCTGCATCCGAGATCATCAATAAAATTTTATTCGCCAGTACGGAATTTGGCAAAAATAGTGACGTAAGACTGTCATTTACAAATCTGGTAATCGTATTGCCATTTGTTTTATCTAATATTTTCAAACTTACTACATACCCTCGACCAGGGAAATTTTCATTTAAGATTCCAACAATTTAAATTGCCACGTATCTTCCACAACTATCGGTTGTTTCATCGACAGCGAACCATAAATAATTATCTCCAATGCGATGTTTAATTTCGTTGTAAACTTGCTGAAACACCGGGCCTACATAATTTTTTCGGAGAGTACTTTCAACGGGAATATGTCGATTGCAGTGTTTTTCAAGGAATTCTTGAAGAGGGCCTTTCTCCAATTTTTTTAAATGTATATTGGACTGGATCATCATTTTACATAAATCGAAATTAAACTGAAACTGCTCATCTTTTGTGGAAGTAGATGCAACAGATTTATGTATGGTCTGCTGTTTAATTTTAGAAACTTCAAACATTTTCTTCCTTTCTACATGAAGAGTCGTTCTGACATGTTGCGTCACGTTATATTTTTTATCACTTTGAATCTAAAACAACGTACATATACAGGGTTAACAAAGGAAAATAGATAAAAAAAATTAGTGGTCTTACGGTTTTCACACAAGCTCTGCAGAATATTTTGTTGTTTTCTAATTTTAATTCTGGAAAATCCCTTATCCACTCATTCGGCGTCGATTTTACTTTCGGCATTCTTTTAAAATATTAGTAATATTACCAAAAAGAACTCAACATGTAACAAGGGAGAACCACGTATAACACTGTACTACGACAGATGCGATAGACTGATGGTTGTGAAATAAACGGTCCATTTACTTAAAAGTTTCCATTAGAAAAATTTAAAGGTAAGTAGTTGGGTACAATAATCCTTTTTTCTAGAAAATCTTCAACGGTCTTGCCGCAAAATGCCGAAAAAGAACATCTGGTTAAAAGCTTTAATTCATTATCAACGGAAGTAAGGATTTAAAGTCATAAAATCTATGGAGTATTTTTCCAATCCTATAATAAAATTTTATTACTCAAACGACCGGAACCTATTCACAGAAAGGGTTTTGAGTAAGTGTACTTCAATGGTCAAGTACAGGTAAAACGCATACGATACGATACGGCTAACTAACAAGTATTTGTCATCCCGACAAGACCGGCATTTGAACAAAATATGCATTAAAACTCATATTCGTCGAAAAAAGCATTAAATAAGCATATAAGTTTTAATATGCATAAAATTGATAAAAAAGCAAATAAGCTTAAAAAAATGTGTCAAATGACTCCAAATTGTATGATAGTTACAGATATAAAAAAGTTTTGAAGGGCTTACATTTTTCACAAAAAGCATTAAACCTACAAATCCGCTCTCTACTTATGCAAGTGCTCTTAATTTGCTTTTACTAAGTACTTCCAAACGCTTATTAAATAAGAACGTTACTATACGCCTTCTCCAGGTCCATGAATACTTACAAAAAAAAATGAAAATGCTTAAAATTTCGTGCAAACTAACAACGTGGATGATCTAACTAAAATTATACCTATTTTGTTGTACGTCAGTTAGTTTTTCACATACTACCTCGATAAATTTAGAAGGAAAGATCCGTAAAAATATCACCCCCCGACAAGCTACAATTCACTGCATTTTCATTATTTCGCTATGAAAATCTGTATCATCACCGTCATTTTCAAATTCAGATTCTGAATCAGATTCACCTAGCGAAATAGTGAAAGGAGGTATAGATTCGTACGAAAGATTTCCCATATTTTTTTCCCAATCTGCCAAAATAAGTTTTTCACAATGTTTACAAAAATTTTGCCACATGCTTGGAGTACATTTAGAAAGCGCCTCGAGCCGTAAATTCTCCACCCTATTTTTTAATGAAGGTTGAGAATTTATATGCTTGTTGTAATAGTTCTTACAAAATCCCCACGCCATTTCAATTGGATTATATTGACAATGGTACGGAGGTAATCTAAAAACTTCATGTCCACTTTCTCTTAATGTCTCCTCTACCAAATATCTTTTTTTTTTCTATTGTTTCTGAAGGGTTTAATTAAATCCCACAACTGTTTCTTCGAAAATTTTTTGTCAAATTCAACACTATGTTTAAAGAGCCATTCCTGCATTTCACATTTTTTACTAGAAAAAGTGGGTGGTTTATCCACCTGAACCGAATGGTACCGTGCATTGTCTAAAACCACCACACATTTTTGGTTCAACTTTGCCAAAGCAGGAATGAGCTGATTAACCACCCAATTTTGAAAAATTGTCCCGTCCATCATCGTTTTCTGATAGTCTCTATCGTTATTTTTTGAATTTAAAAAATTGTTACAACCATCCAAGAACCCCCTTGAACAACCCGCGTGCAGTATAGTAAACCCTGATCCTTCACTTTTAATTTTGGTGGGATTGCTTTTTAGATCAGTATCGTGCACCCAGCGACGAATGGACGAACCATTTTGACAGATCCATGTTTCATCCAAATACACGAAAGTCAATTTTTCACAAGAATTTAGAAACTGTAAATATGTTCCCAAAAAAGTAACGACATGTTTTTGTTCACATAGAATTTTGCGACCATTCACTTCCCTGTGTTTATAACCCATTGACTTAAGAATTTTGTATAATTCGGTTCGCCCCCCTTTAAATTCCAACTGTTCCATAGAATATCCCAAAAGACTATCTACATTGAAAAATTCGTTTTTTTCATTAAGTTGCCAAATTTGTCGTTGCAGGTCTTTCCGAAACATATAATTTGTAAATAAAATCCGTTGGTTTTCGCTTGCCAGATAGTCATGTTTTTCAATTTTGGTTTCCTGTTGATAAAATTTCCGCCACAGGTGATGTTTCCACCTATGAGAGAAAAAATTAAAAAATATTTTGCAGCGTATTTTTACATTACAGAAAATATGTTCGAGACCCTCATACTTACTTCTTGCAATTTTTTGTTGCAGTAAAACTATTTTAGACATTTTTTTTTTTAAATAATGTCGCAATGATCTGTGAATCTGTTACAATGACAAATTATCTATGCTGACAAAATTAAAACATTTGTTTGCTTGATTAAAAAATTGCGTGTAATAATTCTGATCTAATAAATGAAGTAGAAAAGTGGCAATCCAGCTCAAAGTAAATGTCAATCAGACTACTGACAGACAAAAAACTAAATCATGAAATCAGTTTATCCAACTTAAAGAAAAAATATCAAAGCCTACTTTACTATATAAAGATCGTGAATGGATAATAAAGTATGTACATTACTTCAAAAAAATCAACAAACTGTCAAAAACGTCGACATCGGTTCAAATTCCTCTGTTGATGAAGAATTTCAAATAAATAAAATTATCGACATCTTCAATACCTCTTCGTCAGCTTATGAACCAAGAATGTTCATTACGGTACAAATTCTTGGCAAACCAGTTAAATTTGAGTGTGATACCGGCAGTCCAGTCAGCGTCATTTCAAAGAAAATCTTCGATGCATTGAATCTTAAAGTGACTCAAAAATCGAAAATTTAAAAACATAAACATCTATTTTCTCGATATTTTTAAAAATCAAATAATTGAGACGTCGGAAAAATTGTAAAATCAAAAAATCGAAAAGTTTTTTTGAGTTGCCCAGAGAAATCAAAAATCGAAAGACAAATTAAAAAATTGAAAGTTTAAAAGGCGAGAAATAGAACAATTCGAAAGTTGAAAAAACGAAAAACTGAAAAATCTAGCAGTACTCGCTACGAAAAGACTGATTTTGGCAAATAATCTATTCTCTAAGAACAAAAGGGCGGGTGGGTGGGGCTAGCACTTGCCAAATAACCTACCCTCTAAGAAAATAAAAGGCGGGTAGGCCGGACTAGTATTTGCCAAAAAAACTTATTTTGGCCAATGACCTACTCTTCAAAAAAGAGATACTAGCCCCGCCCACCCACCCTTGATTTTCTTAGAAGAATAAGTCATCTGCCAAAATCAGTCTTATTTTGGCAAGTACTAGTCCCCCACCCGCCCTCCCATATTTTCTTAGAGGATATGTCATCTGCCAAAATCAGTCTTATCTTGGCAACTCTGAGACTGATTTAGGCAGATGACCCATTCTTCTAAGAAAATAAAGGGTGGGTGGGCGGGGGGCTAGTACTTGCCAAGATAAGACTGATTTTGGCCAATGACTTACTCTTCAAAGAAAAGATACTAGCCCCGCCCGCCCACCCTTGATTTTCTTAGAGGATATGTCATCTGCCAAAATCAGTCTTATCTTGGCAACTCTGAGACTGATTTTTGCAAATGACATATTCTCTACGAAAATAAGGGTGGGTGGGCGGGGGGCTAGTACTTGCCAAGATAAGACTGATTTTGGCCAATGACTTACTCTTCAAAGAAAATATACTAGCCCCGCCCACCCACCCTTGATTTTCTTAGAAGAATAAGTCATCTGCCAAAATCAGTCTTATCTTGGCAAGTACTAGCCCCCCGCCCACGCTCCCATATTTTCTTAGAGGATATGTCATCTGCCAAAATCAGTCTTATCTTGGCAACTGTGAGACCAATTTTTGCAAATGACATATACTCTACGAAAATAAGGGTGGGTGGGCGGGGGGCTAGTACTTGCCAAGATAAGACTGATTTTGGGCAATGACTTACTCTTCAAAGAAAAGATACTAGCCCCACCCACCCACCCTTGATTTTCTTAGAAGAATAAGTCATCTGCCAAAATCAGTCTTATCTTGGCAAGTACTAGCCCCCCACCCACCCTCCCATATTTTCTTAGAGAATATGTCATCTGCCAAAATCAGTCTTATCTTGGCAACTCTCAGACTGATTTTTGCAAATGACATATTCTCTACAAAAATAAGGGTGGGTGGGCGGGGCTAGTAGTTGTCAAGATAAGACTGATTTAGGCAGATGACCCATTCTTCTAAGAAAATAAAGGGAGGGTGGGTGGGGCTAGTACTTGTCAAGATGAGACTGATTATGGTAAATGACATATCCTCTAAGAAAATACGGGAGGGTGGGCGGGAGGCTAGTACTTGCCAAGATAAAACTAATTTTGGCAGATGAGTTATTCTTCTAAGAAAATAAAGGCTGGGTGGGTGGGGCTAGTACTTGCTAAAAATAAAAAAATAAAAAATTAAAAAATGACAAATTGAAAAATCGGAAAATTGAAAAAAAAAACATCTTACAAAATCGAATTCGAAATTCCAGTTTTCATTTTTTTTTAGCTTTTAGATTTTTCAACTTTTGAATATTTCATTTGATAATTTGTTTGACAGTTTTGCAGTTTTTAATTCCAATCTTTTGATTTTTCAAGTTATAACTTTACAATTTTGGAATTTTTGCATTTTTAATTTTTCAAGTTCGCAAGTTAAACTTTTTCCTTTTCACGATTTGTCATTTTTCGATTTTTTAATTAAAATTTTGAAAAACCGAAAAATCCAAAAATTGAAAAATTAAAATTTGATTTTGGTTCAACTTTGCCAAAGCAGGAATGAGCTGATTAACCACCAATTTTGAAAATTTTTATTTTTACATTACAGAAAATATGTTCGAGACCCTCATAGTTACATCGAAACTGCCAAAAACATATTTTTATTGCAATTTTTTGTTGCTGTAAAACTATTTTAGGCATTTCCTTGCTGACAAAATTAAAACATTTGTTTGCTTGATTAAAAAATTGCGTCTAATAATTCTGATCTAATAAATGAAGTAGAAAAGTGGCAATCCAGCTCAAAGTAAATGTCAATCAGACTACTGACAGACAAAAAACTAAATCATCAAATCAGTTTATCAAACTTAAAGAAAAAAGCCTACTTTACTATATAAAACGAAAAGCTCCTACCATTCCTAAAATCTTATTATTTTTACATTACACAGCATGTGGCAAAAAATCATCGTCGAATACAAATCAAGTGACCAACATATCTGACGTCATAGCTTCGTCAGATTATCCATGGCATGCAACGATATACAATGTACAAAAAACGCCTGAGTTTGTCTGCAGTGGATCGCTTTTAAGTCCGAAACTCGTTTTAACAGGCATGTATTAACAATCTTTGCGAAAAATTTCAAACTTGCGAAAATTTTCAGTTGCAATTTGTGTCACTGACGCTAAAGGAAAAACAAAATCTAAAGAAAATTATGAAGTGGCTGTTGGAAAAATATACAACAATTCTACCGACAATAGAGACGCTCAATTTTCTAGGGTTTGTTTTCACTAGTTTTAAAAAGCAATAAAGTAATCATATTTTAGGTGCACAAAATTCTTCTAGCTAGCGAAAACGTTGGTGATAGTTATAGTGGCAACATTGTAATTCTAGTTACAACAAAAACTTTCGTTCTATCGACCAGCGTCTTCCCTGTATGTATAGATCTCCACCAAAGATACATTTTTTCAGAAAATAAGTATGGATTTGTGAGTGCTTTTGGTTCAATAGGAGCTTCTAATTATACGAAAGTCTTGAAAGAACAGAAAATATATTCTCCTTCTCGCTCTATATGTCAACACTGTCTGATTGACAGTTTTCGTCGTTATTTTTTAACAAATGACAAAATGTGTGCTTCGTGTCCCAGTAGAGGTTGGTATACTTGGTACTTTAAAAATCATGGTAATGTATATGGTTTTCCAGGAAATGGGTGCATCGTCGACATTGGTAGTGGTTTGGTGTATAACCACCATGGACGGTATTACGTCACTGGTATTCAGACTGCTTTAGTAACAAATTATTTTGCAACAAAATGGTGCAATATTTCCCGTTTTGTGGTGTACACAGAGATCTCCCATTCTTTAAATTTCTTAAATTTAACACTAAATGAATACCAAACATGATATTTTTAAATAAGGTAATAATTATGTTATCAATTATATATGTATTATGTGATTACACCAAATGTTCGGTCATTTTTTATAATAATAATGTTAATAAAATAATTAAATTCGACTAAATTGATTTCTTTACGGGTATTTGTGTCTGACTGAAAAATACAATGGGGCATTTTCTAACAAAATCTGTAAAGTATATAGGACGTACATACCACTAAGAAAACTTTGGTATGTAACTTTACAATCTTTAGCTCTAAACGAGTTCTGCCATAAAACAATTGTATAGTCCACCGTAAATGTGTAATCTTCCTCTGCTGAATTTTGGGCCATACTGTATCTAGGATATAGTAAGTAACAGTTAATTAATGCTAAACACAGTCAAAAAATTGACAATATTTTCTTTTTCCATATAAATTAAAAAAGTCGGGAATAGTTTCAGATAACTAAATCGCGATAATTTTTAGATTTTTCTTTAACTTCGATTTCCCACTTTTGACATGCTTTGGTGAAAATAAATAAACAACAGATCCTGCGAAGAAACAGTTTGTACCTAACTATTGCAAAAATTAAAATATGGAAAAACTGTAAAATCGAGAAATTGAAAAGTCAAAAAAATTGAAAAATTTATAAACCTAAAATTTAGAAATCAAAAAATTGAAAAATCGAGAAATTCAAGTGGAAAGGTCGAAAAATTAAAAAATCAAAAACCGAAAAAATCGAAAAATTGAAAAATCGAAAAAATGAATGATTATAAGACTGAAAAACTGAAACACTGAAAAATCGGGACATCGAGATATATCGAAAAATATAAAATTTGGAGAACTGTAAAATTAAAATAACGAAAAATTGAAAATCCAGGAATCGAAACATCTAAAAATCGAAAAATTTGAAAAATCGAATATGTCAAAATCGACAAATCGGGTAGTAAATAAATCAAAAAGTTAAAATTAAAAAAGTAGATAAATAGAAAAATTGAAAAATTAAAAAATCGAAAAATTGAAAAATTGAAACATCTAAAACCGAGAATTCCAGAAATCTAAACATCAAAAAATTGGAGAATAGATAAATATCTAAAATTTGAAAATCCAAAAATTTAAAAATCTGAAAGTAAAAAATTGAGAAATCGTAAAATTGAAGTAGGTGTCGAAATATTGAAAAATCCCAAAAATGACAACGAAAGATTGAAAAATGGAAGAATAAACGTCGGAAAACCGGAAAAATCGAAAAATTGAAGATTGAAATCCTGAAAAACATTGAAAAATCGGGATGAAGAGATATCGAAAAATATAAAATTTAGTAAAAACGAAAAATTAATATATCTTAAAATGGAAAATCGAGTAGTTAAAACATCAAAAAATCGATAAATAAAAAAATTTGAAAATCTAAAAATTGAAAAATAGAAAAATCTAAAACCGAGAATTCTAGAAATCGAAAGATTGAGAAATCGAAACGTTAAAATGTTAAGGAATTGACAAATCTAAAATTTGAAAAGCGAAAAATTTTAAAATTTAAAAATGTAAAAATAAAAAATCAAGAAATCGAAAAATTGAAGTATCGAAATATTGATAAATCCCAAAACTGACAACGAAAGATGGAAAATTGTAAGAAAAATCGAAGAATCGAACAGTTGAAAAATTCAAAAACTAAAACTTTTGTCAATTGGAAAATAGAAAAATTTTAAAATCGAGAAAGAATTCGAAAAATCGAAGTCGAAAAAAATCAGAAATAAAAAAAATCGAAAAATTAAAAGATCAAAAATTAAATAACTGAAAAATTGAAACATTGGAAAATTCGAGATCAAAAATTGAAGAAATGAATAACTGAAAAATCGAAACATTGGAAAATTCGGAACATCGAGATTTCGAAAAATCTAAAATTTAAAATATGTATTGAAAAATTAAAATAATCGAAAATTGGAAATCGAAAAATCGAAAAATTAAAACATTCAAAAATCTAAAATTTAAAAAACGAATATGCCAAAATCAACAAATTGAATGCTTAGTTAAAAAATGGAAAAACTAAAATTAAAAACGTCGATAAATCAAAAAACCAAAAAATAGAAAAACAGAAAAAAAAATCTAAAGCCGAGAATTCGAAAAGTCGAAAGATCGAGAAGTCCAAACATCAAAAAATTGAGGTAGGTATTGATAATCGAAAATTTGAAAATCGAAAAATTTTAAATTCTAAAAGTAAAAAATCTAGAAATCGAAAAATTGAATTATCGAAATATCGAAAAATCCCAAAACTGACAACGAAAGATTGAAAAATGGAAGAAAAATTGAACTGTCGAAAAATTCCAAAACTGAAAGATCGGAAAATTCAGAAATAGAAAAGTTTAAAAATCGAGAAATAAATTCGAAAAATTGAAAATTTAAAAAATGGAAAAATTAAAACATGGAAAAATGGAAAATCGAGGAATCGGAACTTCAAAAATTCGAAAAATTCAAAAATCTAAAAGTTGAAAAACTGAAAAATCTAAAAACGAGAAATGAAAAATCGAAAGATCGAGAAGTCGAAACATCAAAAAATTGAAAAATTGATAAACCTAAAATTTAGAAATCAAAAAATTGAAAAACCGAGAAATTCAACTCGAAAGGTCGAAAAATTGAAAAATAAAAAACCGGAAAAATCAAAAAATTGAAAAATCGAAAAAATGAATGATTATAAAACTGAAAAACTGAAACACTGAAAAATCGGGACATCGAGATATATCGAAAAATATAAAATTTGAAGAACTGAAAAACTAAAACAATGAAAAATTGAAAATCGAGGGGAGATTAAAAAAATCAAAATCTTAAATCTAAAAATCGAAAAACTGAAAAATCGAATATGTCAAAATCGACAAATCGGGTAGTGAATAAATTAGAAAGTTAAAATTAAAAAAGTAGAAAAATCGGAAAATTGAAAAATCAAAAAATTGAAAAATTAAAAAATCTAAAAGTTGGAAAACTGAAAAATCTAAAACCGAAAAATGAAAAATCGGAAGTTCGAGAAGTCGAAACATCAAAAAATTAAAGAATTGATAAATCTAAAACTTACAAATCTAAAAATTTAAAAATATAAAAGTAAAAAATCGAGAAATCAAAAAATTGAAGTATTGAAATATTGAAAAATCCCAAAACTGAGAACGAAAGATTAAAAAATGGAAGAAAAATTGAAGAATAGAACAGCTGAAAAATTCCAAAACTAAAACATCTGAAAATTGAGAGATCTAAAAATTTAAAAATCGAGAAATAAATTCGAAAAATCGAGAAATAAATTCGAAAAATCGAAAATTTTAAAAATCAGAAAATTGAAGGATTGAAAAACTGAAAAGTCAAAACATTGAAAAGTGGAGAAATGCTATAAAAATAAAAAATCGATTAATCGAAAAATTGAGAAATCTAAAAATTGAAAATCTAGGAACGTCAAAAATTTAAACAGAAAATATTTAAAAAATGGATAATTGAAAAATTGAAGAATAAAAAAAGTGGAAAATCCCGAATCTGAGATATTGAAAAATTGAAAAATCGAAAAAATTAAAGTATTGAAATCGAAACACTGAAAAATTGGGAGATCGAGATATCGAAAAATCTAAAATTTAAAAATCGAAAAATTGAAAAATCGAATATGCCAAAATCCACAAATCGGACAGTTAAAAAACCGTACATTTAAAATTAAAAAAAGTGGATAAATCGAAAAATCGAAAAATTGAAAAAACGAAAAGTCTAAACCGAGAATTCGAAAAATCAAAAGATCCAGGAATCGAAACATCAAAAAATTGAGGAATTGATAAAATCTGTATATTGAGAAATCCTAAATTTGACAACGCAAGACTAAAAATTGGCAGAAAAATTGAAGAATCGAACAGTTGAAAAATTCTAAGAAACTGAAACATCGGAAAATTGAGAAATCGAAACATTTAAAAATCGAGAAATAAATTCAAAAAATCGAAAAATTAAAAAAATCAAAAATTGAAGAATTGAAAAACTGAAAAGTCAAAACATTGAAAAGTGGGGAAATCCTATAAAAATAAAAAATCGATTAATCGAAAGATTGAGAAATCTAAAAATTGAAAATGAAGGAACATTAAAAATTTAAACATTAAAATATCAAAAAATCGGGTAATTTGAAAATTGAAGAATTAAAAAAGTGGAAAATTCCGAATCTGAAATATTGAATAATTGAAAAATCGAAAAATTGAAGGACTGAAATCGAAACACTGAAAAAGTGGGACATCGAGATATCGAAAAATCTAAAATTTAAAAAATTGAAAAATTAGAATATCGAAACATTGAAAATCGAGGAATCAAATCAAAAAATCGAAAAATTAAAAAATTCAAAAATCTTTGAAAAAACGAAAAGTCTAATACCGAGAATTCGAAAAATCGAAAGATCGAGGAATCGAAACATCAACAAATTGAGGAATTGATAAAATCTGTATATTAAAAAATCCCAAATTTGACAACGAAAGACTAAAAATTGGAAGAAAAACAGTTGAAAAATTCTAAAACTGAAACATCGGAAAATTGAGAAATCGAAAAATTAAAAAATCGAGAAATAAATTCGAAACATTGAAAATTAAAAAAATCGAAAAACTGAAGAACATTGAAATGTGGGGAAATCTTGTAAAAAAAAATCGAATAATCGAAAGATTGAGAAACCTAAATATTGAAAATTTGGAAATGTCAAAAATTCAAAATTTAAAATATCAAAAAATTGGATAGTTGAAAAATTGAAGAATACAAAAACTAGAAAATTCTGAAACTGGAATATTGAAAAATCCACGAATTGAAATTTGGAAAATCGAGAAGCCGAAAACCAAAAAATCCGAAAATTTTTATTGTATAAAATTTAAAGAATATTTACTGTTGTAAATTTGGAGATAACGTCATTTCATTCGTAGTAGGAATGAGAGACAAATTTTGATTAGCATATTACAGTCTACATGAAAATCCGGATAGACCGCAGACAGACAGACAGACAGGTGGAAATGGGAGACCTCGTTTTTCGTAGACTGGGTGTCATGAAACATTTTGAAAACATGAACAAAAAAAAATAAAAAATTGAAAAACTGCAAATCGAAAAATTGAAAGAACTGAAATTG